AGAAGATTTAACAAGTAAGATTTTCTAGTGTTCAGCTGACATATCAACGTATTTGATAAATTTAGAACGCTGTATGTCATATTTCAATACATTTTTATGTTAATGTAACTTCTTGAAACGTTTTGAAAATGTTTGATATAATATTTATAAATATTATATGCATCTCTTTTTTGTTGTATAACTAAATATTTTACTTCAACACTTGAATCTGAATATATACTGAAATATTTGAATACTTACATTTTGACAACGACATTGTGATCGTTGAGTAATTCGATACAAACTTTCTATTAGATGCAAATAAAAACAACAAAAGCTGATGTATTAAGATCAACTTATTACTCAAATTATTCCTAGAAAAATTCGTTAAGAAGCATGAAAACCTGATGATGTGAGTTCCATTATTTGAATAGTTTTCAACAAATACAAGTTTTTAAACAACTTAAGACAGGCTACGAAGATTGATAATTGATTTTACATTAAAATATATATTGAAAACGTTTTGATTAGTTTTGCATGTGTAACGGGTATTAATATATATCTTGTTTATAATTGTTTAAAGAGAAATACGAACTGATTTTTAATTGCACCAAGTTCTGAATAATTCTATATCGATGTGTGTAATTAATTTTCTATAAAGATCTATTTACTTTTCAAATGTTTTCGTTTTCAGTTATAAGAAGAGATGGAATTACCGATTTCAAAGAAAAAGTAGGTCATAAGCAGAAGCATTTTGTTAGTTATAATAAAATAAACGAAGTGTACAGCAATAAAAATAACTTATTGTATGAATATGCCCATCTGTCATGTTGCTATTAAGTACTTTTTTTTTTATAGAACTTTTATAATTATTTATGGATAATTAGTCATTTTTCGAAAATTATTTATAACGGAGTTTTTTTTAGCTCTGATAGACAACTCTAGATGACTCTTAATTCAAACACATAAAATCTCAAATATTTTCAGATGAAAAAATTTTGTCTTTGTTTTTAGGTGGAATATACTCACCAAGTGACTGTATACCTCGACAACATCTTGCTATTATAATTCCATTTCGTAATCGTGAATATCAACTTAAAATACTCTTACGTCATCTTCATCCATTTTTACAACGACAAAAACGATCATATCGAATATTTGTTGTTGAACAGGTTCATATTATTAACTAATTTTCTTTTTTTTTTGTATTAACTAACACTTTTTTCTTTTGATAATTATAGTTTGGCAATGGTACGTTTAACAAAGGTTTGATCATGAATATAGCATTTAATCATGCATCAAAAATATCTGCACCAGTATTCAATTGTTTCATGTTTCATGATGTTGATCTTATACCTGAAAATGACTATAATGTATATGAATGTGATAAACATGGACCACGACATTTAGCACCGGCAGTTGATGAATTACGCTATTTGTAAGTTGAACATGCAAAAGACTTTCGTTCTTCTTTTTTTTTTTACAGCAAAATCACAAAGCCCAAAATAAAATTCAGTTATCTTTGTATCTAGATTAGAATATTTGAAGTAGATTCATGCCGTTATATTTCGAAGAACTCTGAAACATATTAAATTATGATTTTTGAACAATTAGGAGATGTATGATGTTAACTGCAATGTTTTATCCAGCTCAGTAGGATCGACACTTGTTAAATTTCACTTTATAGTTCATTGATCGAATTCGAATGTATAGATGTTCATCTGAGAAAATCAAACTCTATCGATTTATGAAAGTTTAGATTTTGTAACCTTTGCACTCAAATAGTTCTCAACGTTTTTATTAGACATCGAGAAGTATCTATCTAATATCTTGGTTTTGAGAGAAAAATATTCGTAAGATGGTATTGAGTTATTAAATATCAAATGCAGCAATGAATTATATTTATAATGCAGTACAAACCAATGAAATTGATTGTTCAAATCTGAAAATCATTTGTTTTGAATAAGTTCAGAGTTTTAACGGAAATTGTTGATCCAATATCAATGTCAACTGAATTCATTACTAAACTCTTCAATAAATATAATGATCTATCTTTCTTTCTTTTCAGCTTAATGTATAATGACTTAATCGGTGGTGCTCTTGCAGTAACAAAACATCAATTCATGAAAGCAAATGGTTGGTCGAATTTATATTGGGGTTGGGGAGTAAGTATTTTATCTAAATTTATGCATCAAATTATTGTTTCTTCTTCAAATACATTAGTTCGAAGATGATGGTGAGTGTAACACAACAAAGAAAATATTTCATTTTATTTGTTTCCTGTTTAGATATGAATCATAGGTTTGTAAGCTATCTTTTTTTTATTCCTGTGCTTCTATGCCAGTTTATTAGATTACGTCATGCAGGTTATCGTGTTAGTCGACCACCTAATAGTGTTGGCCGTTATAAAATGATTCGTCATGAAAAACAAGTACCTGCATTTAATAGGTATTTCATTTTCGTTTTTTTTTTTAATATTAATAATGTACATTTCTGTTTAATTAAGATATGAAATACTGAGTAGATGGCTTCGTTATTCTTCTGATGGCATTCAACAACTTAGTACATTGGATTATTCGATTATCAGCATAGAGACACATGCGTTGTATACTCATATTTTAGTCAATTTTACACGTTTAGCTACAAAAACTATCGATCATTTGTTAGAAGAGTTGCCAAATGTCAAATAAAATAGATGATGATGATGATAGTTTTTACTTTTCAGATTTTTTAAGTTTAATGGTAAAAAATATCAAAAGAAAAATATAATCAATATATACGAACAATTCAGATGATAATATTGTACTGAGTATGATAGTAAGCTTTTCTCGTCTTTTTTCTATTAATCTTCATTAATAAAGTATGTATTTGTAGATCTATCGAATATATTGATTATGTGCAACAATAACAACTAAATTATACATCTACATCTACATTTTGATTAGTAGTCATCATTCTTTAGCTCACATACAGTGAAAATTTATTTTGAATGGATCATTATTGAACTAATTGCTGTCTTGTTCAATTCATTGTCATTAATATATAATCTACAATCAGAATTGGTTAGCCATAAAATACAAATTTGCATAGTATTATTGTTTATTAACCGAACAAGCTAAATATTTTTTCGGATGACAAATGACTCTTTCAAATTTTCATTTATAGAGATTATGAAGTTTGAGAATGTTCACAATCTAATCTAATTTCTGTATACTTGTTGAATGCTTTTAATTTCTTCAGAAAGTTCCCTCATATTTTTTGACGAAGTTCTGTCTTCGATAGATTTCCGCAAAAGTTTTATAGTATATCCATCAATTCTCTTAAATTAAACACATTCATGGAATAAGTTAGTTCATCGTTGAATTTTTAATCAAGAATCATTTTTGATTATTTCAGAATATGAAAGAACGAGAGATATGAGAATGAAAAATTTGACACAATGAAATCGAGTTGTCATCAGAAATTTTCTTTGCTTCATTTTTATAGAAAATATTTCAGTCTACCTTTTTTTGACTGTTTTATTAAATTTCTGTTATATGTATCACTGAAGAAAGTTTGATCGAACTAAATATCATTTGTAGATGTTGAAAAAACGTCTTCATATAACACTCGTCTTACTTCATTTGGTATTACAACTAACATTAACTTTTATTTCGTCTTTACATTGGTTTCTATTAATACTTTCGTTTATTGGCTATTCAATTCTGTTATACAAACAATATTATCACTCTAACAATCCTTCTCTCTTCTGTAATCATTATTTATCAACAATAATTTTTACTTCTATTCACTTTATATTTGTTCTTGCTTATAATAAAATTCTTCCATGGGAAATTGGTCTTGTCATATTATTCTTAATACTTATTCTTCATTATGCTCGACGACTAGGTGCATCAATATTCAGATGGGATCTTACTTGGTAAGTGATATATGTTTTTATTTTTCTGTTTCTAACATGAAATCATACAGGTTACCTCTTGGTTATCAGCAAGATTATGATTCCATCATGTCTATAGTCGTGGCGAAATTTCTCGTATCGAGTTTGCTACTCTTTGGATATACATGTCAATTATGTTTAACAACAGTGTGTACACCATCGATTTATTTCAATTGGTTTCTCATTGTTACTGATTGTCGTTATACCTATGCATATCTTCTGTATTTATTCGCCTTTCTTTTTTTGTTTCTATTCTATGAATTCATGTTTAATATTTTTTATAGTTCGAGTTATACATTTGCTGGTGGTGTTCTCATATCATTATCTTGGACAGTCGTATTACTTCTCCATTTGGTTGTTCATCGATTCAAATCTTAGACACAAACAAAAGTCAAATTAATTGAATTATTAAATGTATATGTGATAGTAAATAACATTTATTATGCACAACTAACAAAACAAAAATTTCAGTGAAATTCAGTTTATTCAAAAACAAATTCTGATTGGAATTCATACCGTACAAATTTCCAATTATGTTTTGGAGATTTTCAATTTTCAATTTCTAAAACTAATTATATTTTCACATACAAATATAAATAAATTATAAATCTTTTTTCTTTTTTTTTTTAATAAAATTATGGACTGTGACATCATTTTCAGATAAAAAGTTCTGATTATTTTACGTGTAAAGATAAAATAACAATAAATATGAATTTGAACAGCAATCACAACATTTTTTCGATCTGACTAAATATCTCGTTAGATAACATAATAATTCAGTTTACATTGTAGTACAACATTGACGATTTTAAAAGCAGAGACTTTTGCAAAGGATTGATTTTTAGATGGTAGCTTCGTTGAGAGACTATGAAAAAGTATAAGATAGCTATGTCAATTATCATTTTTTATCTTTCCAATACAGCTTACTAAATAATTTGACAGCACTGTTTCTCAAAGTCATGAATAAATTAACATCAACTGTGGCAATTATATTATCAAGTAATTTAAAAATAAAAATTTGATACTGTACAATGAATGGTTAAATATTAATTTTAATGAAAATTTTGACATTTCTTTTTTCTGTATATGTCATTGATTAGTATCGATTCTGATCTTTCATATTGGTTTCTTTTGTATGTTTATCAATGGATACAACTGATTCTAAAAATAAAGAAAAATATTTGACCTTGGTTTTTTGTTCTAATTTTATCAACAAATGGTCCATTATGAATGGGAAAAAAAAATATTTCCCTTATAAAATTACATTCTGAATAATCTTTGACGATTCCAAAGTCCTATTATTGAATAAGCTGTACACATACATATTTCATTGTCGAACGTGATGAAATGTATATTCATAACAAAAAACAATGATATCAAAAAAATGAGAAAATTAGTTATTTTTTTTTTTATGTCTTCAAAATAAAAATTATTTATTCTATTATTCGTTTATAAAAACGTTTCATTTTGCCCGCTTCTTGTTGTTCATTTTCAATCGTGTCATCTTTATTTATTTTTCTTTGTTTTTTTTTGTCTTCTCAAATCTGTGTACTGTTACACAATGTGGAAAACTCGATTTGAAGTGAACAATTCTAATGGTAATAATTTAATTCGTCATCGTAATCTTTCGTCTTCATCTACAATAAAGCATAATTATTGTACATGGTCATCATCAACAATAGCTCGTACTCGAGATGATTCACCACATGCTGTTATTCGTCCATATTCATCATCATCATCAATACCAAATCTTGAAATTCTTACTGAAGAAGATGAGGATATTTCATGTTCAAATTTATCAAATAATAATCGAATTAATTCCCTATCCATAAAATTACGTAAACAAAATTCTTATCAAACTGTTAATAGACATCAAATTGTTCTTCCAACAATTGTTGAATCAAATGATCATGAAGTAATGATTGATAGTCTATCAGAAACAAATGATGTAAATGTTACTAACAAGGAATCAATTAATGATAGTCATAATAAATATATGATTAAATCTACATTACAAGATTCATTTGTGGCAACAAATACAAATTATAATCAAGTTATGAATGTTGACATCGAAAGAAAAGAACGAACATTAAATACAAATATGAATTATGATATGACTGAATTTACACTTGATAAACATGTTAATGAAATTTTACAACAAAAAACTCCAAGATTAAATCAAGTACGTGAAATGATGTTCGTTTTTGCTGCATCTACTTTTCCATGAAGAAATTATTTTAACTTCATTTTATTTTTTTTTTTTTTTTTTTTTTGTTTTTTTTTGTATAAGGAATGAAGAAATTTCTTGTTTATTTGTATTTTTAAACTATTAAATTTAATTTAGCCTACGTCTTCATCAACAGATTTTGACAAAAACAAGATATTCATACCAACAACATTTAAAGATATTAGTGCATTTTTTGAGACGAAAGTATTAGCAGCTACAACAAATCACACATTGGAACAAAAGAAAATAGTACGAGCTAAACGATCACTTTCATTAAAGCAATATATGCCTAGAAATAAAAATAATTTACCAAAGTTAGAAATCATTTCATCCACTGAACCAGAGTCAACTATTTTTCATCATCAAATTAAACGAATAAAGAAAACACATAAATCTGAGTTCGAGTCTATTGCTGAACAGGATCATATAATTAGTGATAGTCTTGTAAAACAATCAATTAGTTTCGATAGTAACATAAAAGAAATTGAATACGAAGATCGATCAAAACAATTACCAAAACTAATGAACAACATGCTTTTAAAGAAAACTCTTCCAAAACAATGGTTGATTTTTTTATTACTTATTATTACTATACTTGTATGTTTATATTTATCTAATTTAACAAATGTTTATAAATATGTTTTTGGATCAAATCCATTTGTTTATCTTCAACACTATCTATTATATTTTTTTCCTCGACAATCTAAAAAACAAATTGATTTAATAGATAAAAATGTTATTTCTCGATATGGACAATTTGTACGAAATCGTTTCTTTTCATTACTTGACTTATTTGTTACATTCATTGGTGAAATATTTTTTCGTATTGATAAATATGAATATACAAATAATATCGTCTATGTAGTAACTTCAACCTATGAAAATATATATGATCGATTTATACATTTGTTTAAATAAAATATATATTTAGATATAATTGAAAAACTTTACTATTTTTGTCATTTTTAATGTGAAGTTTTTGTTTTGTTATGTTTTGTAAATGAATACATATCAATATATATTTATTTTCATAGAAAAACAAATGAATTTCTAGGAATTTTACCCACATCAGTCAAAAGTAAACTGAATACAGGAGAAGAAAAAGTTGAACTTATATCTGACCTTTTTAGAACAGCAGACATATTGTAGAAGGCATATTTTATGTAAAGTACATAA